CAAAGAAGTCCGTGAGAGAGCCTTTTTGATGTCTGGCCGATTGTTGAAGGATTTCCCCACAAAGATGCTTGTCCAGGGAATGGAAAAGGCAGTAGTCTGTTGGCACGAGGTCTAGGGAGTATGGTGGATGGGGTAGCATCTCCCAACCCAGTCGCTGGATGGTGTCCCTGGTCTCCTGAGCCACATGCGGCCTCGCATTGTCATGGAGGAGGAGTACACTCTTACGATTGACCAATGCTAGATCTTTGTGCATCAGTGTCCGACAAACACGTTACAAATGCTGCAAGTACAGGCCTGCCGTGATGCTTTAGCCCACTGACAGGAGCTCATAGTGTAACAATTGGTGACTAGTCCACTAGATACAGAGCATGATCTTGCATTGGTAGAGACAAAGTCTCGCAGTGTAAGACACAAGGTTCTGTGGTAACAACCAATGTCTGAAACGCCTAGGTGTGTCATACTGGACCCACTTTTCATCACTGGTGAGTATTCGATCAAATGTGGATGCATTGCGATGCCGAGTTGTTTGCATTGGACAGTGAGTGGGGTGCCTACTTGCTCAGCTTGGCCTTTCGTATGCAGTGCAAATGGAGTCTAATCGTTTCATCAGATACCTGAAAATGTGCAGCAAGCTCACCAGGTATTTGGCTACTGTCACTCTCTGTGGCTGCTCTCAGGACCTCATCGTCCAGTGCTTGTGGCTGATTGTTGCATGGTGCATCACTATTCCCTGACCTGAACTTCTGGAACCATTGCCTAGTGGTTCATTCGTTAACGGCATCATCCCCAAATGCCTGGTAAATTCGGCAACTTGATTTTGCTGCTGACAGGCACACTTTAAAATCATACAGCAAAAAACTCTGAACAAGCACCTTTGACACATCCATTTCAATGAGTCGCTGTGCGAGTTATGTTTGAAGTACCGATGCAACGTGCTTTTATACTCCTCGTCAATGTCCAGACTCCAATCCTAAACACTTTATCACCAGGTTAGAGACTATTTTTAAGTTGGGGTTAACTCTTTCAATGTCATATCAGAAACAGCAAGAACTTTTTTTTGGTTACTTCGTACAATATTTCTGGCTGCAAAATTTTTTCGTAAGACTTGCATAAATGTTTAAAATAAATGCAAAATGAAGCCCTCTACACATATGTTGGTACATGATGGTACATATTTTTGATTCTTATTTATGTGTTACAAAATTAAAAGTTTGAGAATCCTTGCCTTATATAACATTTTAGCAGATAGTTTCAATCTAAATTTAAAATGAAGTTAATCTTATACAATTTTAAGATTTACATATCACACTCAGCAAAAACCAATCTTTAGAAAATCCAGATGAGGGATAAAAAATGATTCTTGGTACAATGAAAATAGTGCAATCCACAAAGACCTCAAAATTTGCACCATCACAGAATTTACCAAAAATGCAGCTGTTAAATAATGTAAAAACTTACTTATCAGAATACAAAGACACAACTCATTCCTCTCGGCAAGCATCCATATCCTGTCAATATTTTACTTACAAAAATCTATAATTTTCTTAAAACTTACCACATAAGTTACACTTACTCAGTAAACTGTATTTGATCTCAGATTACAAATCTCCACCTGCAGATGTGACACTCCATGGTTACCTGTTTTCATCCATTCCCACATATGAACATCTTTTGCACAGATTAGGTTATTTGGACATTACAAACTACATAAGCAAACTACATATGACCTTCATGGAAGCATTCATAAGGGAAACTAGCTTGTATTCATGTTACAAATGGAGAAAACGCAACATGCAGCCAACCTGTTTTCAAACTACGAATCCAATTGCCACTAGTCATTTCTACAGCTCTGTTAAAATTAAACACTGCTACATTAAATAAAGTAAAGAGAGACCTCAGAATCCTCGGGTACTTAAAGTAATAAAAGTGTATTATCTGAAAAATAACATTTTATTTAAATTTTCTTAAGTCTCACAAAGTACCTAATTAAACAAAATATCTTCTTTTATCAGGTTATGAAACTGTAAGCAGCATTCATGGTTATTAATTCTGCATTTTTAACTTACTAGCACAGAATGAACACTGTACCAAGTATTGTCCCGTTCTACAAAGACTATAATAAAAAAATTGATTTTATTTTTAAAAGCAGTATCTCAGTACTGAAATAATATCATAAAATTATCTAATTTATTTTGAGAAACTTTTTGAAATTGGAACTATGTAACTTAAGATCAATATTAAAAAAAAAAAAAAAAGTCTGGATCCTTTTCTGAATAGCACATGTATAGATTCATACATGTTGTCATTATAAATCTTTATTAGCAGAGCCTGCATCATAAGCAGTATGATAAAAAATCTCAAACCAAGATGTCCCCTTAAGAGGCTGATTGATTTAGATTACTGGTAGTTTGACCTGAATTCAATCCCAGGCAAATAGACTAGCTGCATGGTTGGTTTTCATACTTTTCTTATGAGTAATGGGGACACAAGTCAATTTCCCCTTAGAAAATCGCCCACCAGCGGCCGAGCGGTAAAGTCGCTGAACACTGGTAGTTCGGTCCGAGGTTCGAATCCCGCGAACGGGCAGGCTGCATGGGCGTTTTCGTGGTTTTCCCCATGTAACGTGTATACGAGCCAGTTGCCCTTAGAAAGTCCTCCACGAAGGCATCCCTCCTCTTAGGCAGATAGCCCTCGAGGCTTTGCCATACTCACACACACCTTAGAAAATCCTCCACGACGGCATCCCTGTCTTTAGGCAGATAGCCCTAGTGTGCTTTGCCATATTCAAATAACCTAACCTCAAATCAAAATATTTAAAACTAATGAACAATATTCAATTACATAATTCAGAAAAAGAGTAGAACTTTGTTTTTCCAGTTTTTATATATTTAATTTACATTTTTGAAATGAAATTTACATAACTGGGATAGATTTTTGCTATTATGTGCATATAATATGTACGTGACATATTTTTAATTTTTATTTGTGTACACATATGCAAAATGAAGGAGATTCTAAATGCCATTAGCCTAAATTATGAAACCAATTTAAAAAAAGCTAGCCTTAAGAAAATTAAATTACAGAAAGCAATTTAGTTAACAGCATGGCTCTTGCCACACACAAACCATTCATAAACAGAAAAGTGAAAGACATTTTAATGCTAAATAATAAATTTGTGTTTGTGTAATATAATGTCAGCCTTTAAGAAACATATAAATGATAAATAATACATTTGAAATCTTACCTTTCCTTTCAGAACATATCTTCAGGTGGTGGCTTTGATGATAGTCACTAGAATTTTTCACTTCCTTTTTCTATGTCTGTAAAAAAGAAACATTTTCAATTTTTTTTTTTTTTATCTTTATACTACACTGCATTAAGTAAACTCTTTTTCATGATTAATTTCTAATTTATCTGAATAATTTTAATAAGAGATTCATTCTAATGCTTCAAACCTCTTCACTACTACAAATCTATTACACAGTGTTTCCAAAAGTTACACACATAAAAAAGTCAAAAGTTGTGGAAATTGCATGATGGATATTAATGACAAATTTTTTGAGTGGATGACAAGTAATATATTACTTGAAATTTCAGTTGCAGTATGTGCTGTTAGCTTTAAAAAGTCACTTGCTTGGTATAAAAGAAAGACTAGTTTTTCACAAGTAGAAAGAATTTTTACAGTTGAATATCACTTCAAAATGCATTCTTTATGGAAAAGTAGTTGAACTGCTTAAAGAGGCCTTGTGAAGCTTTTAAGATGATTTCTGCTTTATAACTTGAGTTTGAAAAAGCGTTTATCATAAAAAATTTTAATGTTAAATAACCTCCACCTTATACGAGGGCTGCTTGTCTCTTCGGAGTTCAGATAAGCTACATAGGAATAAAATGTTGAAATCATCAACAAAGAGACTGAGGAATATGGCATTACAATCAAATTTAAATATTGCTGTGACTTATCTCACTTGTCTGTCCCAAGCGGAACAAGCCCACAAATTTTGCTGTGGCAAGGTATACAAGACTGCATCTGTCATTGGTCTTGAGCACCATATAAGTGACAGTACAGCTTAGCCTAGCTCTACCAGTTTAGCAGGAGAATCCCTCACAGATGGATCCCAACTCCTCTTCCCGTGCCACCTAACCACTCAAGAAGACTTCTGGCTCAGTGTTCATTTTGAGTACACAGATGCAACATCACTAACATGCATGCTGCACATTTACTAACATCAATACTTTCTGCGGTATTTCATCATGAGCCCAATTAAAGATAGTCTGTCTTTCATAAGAAAAGCTCTCACCAGTTAGTCTGCAGCTGTCTGTTGCCCTAGAAACAAATCTTGACCTATTTTTCATAGGGCTGTCTTGAAGACAGATGATAACTCTTTTCTCCTCAGCCAACAGTCGCCAAAAAACAAAATAACAATAAAGCAACCCTTGGTTCACCCCTATTTGAAATATACTAGCCCTGTTGCTATAGTGACCTCCACCTGCCACACACTGTAGCAGGAGCTGTTCTTCTGGTAGACAGACAGTACAACACTAACCACTATGTCCATCAGGGTGGCTAAAATTTCAATAAATGCTTCAACAGCCTTTCAGTAAAAATGCATTGAAACGTAGTGCTTAATCAAGAATTTGTTCTTGAAAAAAAAATTTTATCTCCATATTGTATCAAAGCAACATTTTTTAAAGCTAACACAATAAACTGCAACTTAAATTTTCAAGTGGTATTATTTGTAACAGTATAGGAATGTCACCTACTGAAATAACTTGCTATTAAATCCATTTTAGAATCTCTAAATTTTTTTAAATTTTCACGGTGGTGACTTTTGGATTATCTTTTATTTTGGGCCTTGCATTGTAAAATGATAACTACAGCAATAAATGGAAGAAATCTAGTCATAAAACCATTTTAATGAATGAAAATATAAATTTCTTGTACAGTATAAATAAGTCATTTTTAAAAATGTTTAATATTAATTTTAATATAATTTTTGCAGCTATCGTACAAGGAGACACACCCGAAGAAATCTACGAGAAAGTGAAAGAGGTGATCCGGGCCCAGTCCGGCCCCACCATCTGGATCGCAGCAAAAGAAAAACTCTGAACGTATATCAAAAAACTCAACTCGTCTCTCATGGTTTGTGAATACAAAATCCATTCTGTAAATTGCACAGCCAAAGAGCCCTCGTACAGAAAATTTCTGCAGCTCTTTGAAGGGATTAACCAAAAACATTACAACAGAATGTAATTCCAGTTATGCGTGGGCCTGCGCTCTGATACGACCACGGACAGCCAGAGCCCATCGAAATGTGATCCCGTCAGTCAAAAGGAATTTTGTGACCGAAAAAAGAGTTGCATTTCCCATCTGGATTATATGACTGCATTCCTTGATTCATAATTATGTTGATATCCTCCCTATTTTTGTCATCGTGAATTGCATTTTGCACCTCTTATCACAAAGTCGTTAACCAATGTTCCATTTTCGAGCATCGTTCGTTCCCTTTCATAACCTTCGAGCTTCTTTTTTGTGAAACTGAAAATAAATATTTTGTAACCGAAATATCTCTGGTAATCTGGATGTTAAATAACACAAAAGGGAAGAAAATATTCTGCGAGTCATACTTAAAAAGTGAAAAAAATTATTGCCTTATTCCTCAAAGCTTCATTATAATTCTACCTCTTAAAGAAATCATTTCCACATTAACAAACACACATTAAAAATGCAAGCACAAAACCAATGTATTTTATAGTTGCTGCAATCAATAACGTTCTAAATTTTATTAGAATTGACCCTGAAACAACCAATTTATACTTAGGCCATGAAACATACTGTAAAATAACTGGTAATTTTAAAACTACTCCTTTCTTGCAAACTATTGAAAACAAGACAATGTAATTTTCAGTCAATGTAGTGACATAGCTTTAAAATGTATCCCAAGCTTACAACAATGCATTTATTACAAAAAATATTTCATGCTGTACTGAAAATTACCTTCTCCCATTTCCAGACGAGGTGTACCTATAAAACACTAAGTGTACCTATATAGTGGCATCGATATTTAAGATTCCAGACATATTTCGGATACCTCGTGCTGCGCCTGAGTATTCGAAGTACAAGATATATCTTACAGCTTATACAATTAAGGAAGCAACAGTGTAAATTTAAAAAATCTTGTCGTTACGTTCGCCGTTTTGAATATTTTCCATTTTTAATAGCCGTTAAGTCGATTTCTGTGCCAGTAGGCTAAAGTATCAGTTTGATATTCTCAATTCATTGCATGCTTGTCTGTAAATGACGTCATTTTTTTTAGCCTTATTGTGTGACGGTTGCCATCGGCTCAGAAAAATGTGCTGTGAAGCATTTCAAGATGTTTGCCACCAACTGAGGTGTTTATTGCTCATTAAACTCTTGTTTCTGTACTATATATAAAGCTTCTCTATGAAATAAATATTCTATGGAATATTTACGAAAAACTTTTGTTTCATTCATGTTTTTTCATTTCTTAGAACAAAGATGTTATCGAACGATTGTTGCAGCTGGTCTTGTATAGAAAATATAATAAAAATTCATTTCTTGAATTTGTTCAATATTCTAAATAGACTTACAGAAAGTAAAAATAACTGCAGAATTTCAGTGTTTTAGTGTCACAAATAACTACCTTGTACATAATTGATGGCCTACAGGGAAAATAGTCTGTGTGACAATACCCAGTGTCACTCTAAGTATTCTTAGATAAACATTTAAATTATGCAAAATGTTCTCTATTGTATACAACTAAATGTTAAAATTATATAAAATTCTATATTTTATATAATTAAATATTCTTAAATAAACATTTTAATATTTATCTAATAGAAATTTAATATTCTTAGATACTCTGAGTATCTTTAGATAAACATTTAAATTGTATAAAATATCCATATTTATATATATTTAAGTTATATTTAAATAAATATTCAAGTTATACATTTTTAAACTATTAATAACTAAATAGTAAAAAAATCTCAACTACATCTAATTAATTTTAAATAAAATTCTAAAGTTTAAAAATAATGAGTTTGAAATGAAACAAATTGTGCGTCTATATCACTTAAGTTTTTATATTCAACTTCATTTATTACTCACTCTAAAAATGTCTGAACTGTAATCAAATTGCAGCCATGTTCATTCTTAAATGTCAAATCCATGTGATGAATTAACTGCCCTTTATAATCCTTATCTAAAATTTTAACATTTGTAAACTATTTATTTACATTATTTATTATTTACATTCAAGTATGCTATAAACCTTACCTTTGAAATCTGCAGTCTTCTTTCATTTGTGGTTCCTGCTTCTGTAAACAATAACAGTAAAGTTTTCTGTAAACAGTAAACAGTTCTTCAATTCATGCTTTCATAGCAGAATACACTGTCTGTATTAGACTTCTATTCTATATATCAAATGTCTGAGGCACTGTTAGAACTAGAAAATAAAACACATCCTTCAAAAGTTATCACTTACATTTGGTTATGCCTTTAAGATAATCAGCCAAAGAAAACCTCATATATTTTTGCCACCTAGATTTCCGACACACACACATTAAATAATCTGCTGGCCATTAAAATTGCAACACCAGAAACAAGTGATCTGAGGAACGTCAAAATCATATCAAAGGAAGAAGTTGGGAAATGCAAATGATTGTATTTCAGTGCATATAGATGATGCAAGAGGGAGAAACGACATCCGAAGCACTGCATAAAAGAAAAGCTGTGTAGTGGATTTCTCATTTGAAAAGTGCTTTGTAAGGTTGGACTTTGCTCAGAATATCATGTTATGCCTTGAATAAGAAGAGGAAATGCTTACAAGCAAGTTTTGGAATTCGATAGCAGCAGGCTCATTGCCTATTGAGAATGTAGATTTTCGTTACGTGATATCGCCCATCGCACTGGTCGACATCCAACCACTGTCATGCGAATATGGAATCAATGGATTGCTGAGGGGTCATACTGAACGGCATGCAGGATCTCAAAGCCCTCCCATAACTAATGCTCGAGAGGACAGGCATATTGTAAGGTCAGCCCTGCAAGATGATACAACCATGTCACGGACCATTTGTCAAGAAATGGGCATGTTTGCTGCACACCCAGTATCAGCTCGTAAGGTGCATCGATGTTTGCAGCAGCATGGACTATCAGCAAGGTTACCATTACTTCGACTTCCCTTAACAATGCAGCATAGAGAGAGACGGCCACTGTGGTGCACCAAACACCAAAGCTGGATACAGAAGTGGCACATTGTCACCTTTTCATATGAGTACCGGTTCTGTGTGCAGTATTCTGATGGCTGTATACGTGTCTGGAGTATCCGAGGACACCGCACATCGCCTGCTTGCATTCAAGATCAGCATAGGGGTCCTGCACCTGGTGTGATGATTTGGGCAGCCATTGGGTACAACACATGTACATCTCTGGTTCAGGTCAACAGTAATTTGAACGCAAATGGGTACATTTCTGACATCTTACATCCAGTGGTTGTGCCCTACCTTCGAGGCCTCCAAATACCATGTTCCAACAAGATAATGCAAGACCACATGTTGTACGTCGTATTCTGATCTTCCTCAATACACAGGGTATTCGATTGCTGTCCTGGCCTACACAGTCTCCAGCTCTGTCACCCAATGAAAACATCTGGTCATGGGATGCTGAGAAACTCACCCGCCACCCCTTTCCAGCTAATATGGTTGATAAAGTGTGGCATAGACTTGAAACAGCAAGGAATAAGTTGCCCATTTCTGTCATCCAAGCTTAGTTTGACTCAACATCTCTGGCAGCTGTTTCTACTAATTTCTCACCCCTGTAAACCTCGAAAATGTTTACAAATTTAATCATTTTGTCTTCATGCCATTCTGTTTACGGACAATGAATATCTTTTTTGTATTTGCTTGCCTTCATGGTGTTACAGTTTTAATGGCCAGCAGCAAATTTTACTAGCTATTCAAATTTTTGAAAATATTTTATTGAAATTTTGATTATGAACCGACTCCTAATAAGGGGGGAAAAAAAAAAACCTCTTAAGAATTCTAATATTTTCTCTCCCAATAAAGATATTTATTTTGCACATATTTCTTAAAATTCTCTCAGTGTTTTTTTCCTTGTATTCACTAAATTCGTTTACTTACAGCATTTTAATTTTCTAAATGATAATTCTGCCAAGCCTCCAAGGTTATTTTTTTTAATTAGATATACCAGAGCTCAATGAAAGTCCGTCAAGAAAGGTAAATGAAAATAATTATATAATAAATAATTAAAGTACAAGCATAAAAAGATTTTTAAAAAATTAGCAAAACTGATGCCAAATGTTTAAGCAACAAATTAAAACGTGGACCTTGTTCAGGGCTCCAGTTTAACTTAACAATTTCAGTCAAAAACTGAGAAGTACCAGACCTGGGCTAGGGTAGGCATCAAAATTCAACTTTTAGGCTTTTATTATTCTTGCTAATCTTTTGCAAGTGCTGTATTCAGAAGAATTCCATGCACATAAATAATTTTAGTTAAAAGGATAATTCATCATTTAAATATTTTAAGATACTTAACAATAATATTGTTCTAAAACACTATTCCTCATATTCAACAATAAAATTATACTTGTTAAAAAAAATGTTGGTTTCTGATTATTCGCATCTCCACAAAAAAGCCACTATAATGCGCAGATGAGGAACATGAAAAGTTATTTATGTTTCAACAGACGATGTTGCTAAAAAGAATTTAAGCGGCAAACAACAACTTAGCGCACGTGCTTAAGTATACATAGAATTGCACTTTTGAAATTCAACTAACCTTTTTTCTAATTACTACTTCTTTTTGCACTGAATATATTTGTTACTGCCATAACAAATTGTAATGCAAATACAATGTTTGCCCTTTTTTATTTTCACTGTGTTCGAGTATACATTGAAGTTTCAGCTTTTCTTATAAGATTGTGGCTGGTGCGCAATGCTGAGTTTGTGCAAATCCCTGCTTTTTCTTTTAGTGGAAACAGATCACTGTGTACACTGGGGGCAAAAAAATTACAAAAGTATTTCTTGAAAAATATAAGTGTTTTATTTTTTTTTTAAGACACATAAAAAGAAATAGGCAGCACTGGATGCATTGTTGAAATAGACAAATATACAGGATGTCTGAATCAAATGTACGATTAAAAATAATGTTTTAGTGCTACGAGGGCAATTTTGGCCACAAGTGGGAACGCAATTCATAAACACAGTGTTTTTTTCTCGCGTCTGGCACACCTGCGCTTTTGCTGAGCCGACAAAACAAAAAAAATGGCGTCACCACAAGAGAATGCACAAATTGTTCTCTGGTATGCAGAACACAAATCTGTAGATAATCCATGAAAATGTTCGTGCCCCCATAACCGCGGCTATTGCTATTTGTAACTCCGGAATTTGGCTGGAACTGGACTACCGGCTATACATTCTCAGGGCTACTAAGAGAGCTTATGTGGATTTGTACCGACTGTTTAATAAAAACTTTGTAAGTATTTGTATCTAATTTTACAGTTTTTTTATACTTTTAAACTCTCTGTTAAGTAGAGCAACCTCTCCAAATTAGGTACATTTGATTCGGACACCCTGTATTTGTCTCCAAAATCAACAATAAATTCATAACTTTTTTGTGGGGGCATGTCAAACCAGAAAGCATCAACATTTTTAAAAGCAGATATTTGCATACTCTCGTAGTTAGTCATGTGATCCAATCTGAAATATAACACAGCAAAACAGTTCTCACTACCCAAAAGGCTTTATAAGTCTCGTCGCATGAATTTCTTTCCTTCCTCCCTTCATCTAAATAGCTTACCAGAGGCTAAATAATTAGACCACTCAATGGTGATAATTTAACCCAACAGCATACATACACGCTGCATGGGTCTTTTCATGATTTTGCCCATGTGTACTATGAATATGAAACAGCTTCTTTCAGAAATATAAAAGAGCTAACAATAAAGTGCTGACAATAAAAAGTATAAACATATGAAGAAAGCAATAAAGGGTATAAATAAAGTAAAACAATAAAGAATAATCTATGTGCCCCTCCTCAGGCACACAGCTCTTTATATGTTTGAAATATTCAAATTATAAGTTGTTTCTCCTACCTTCTTAGCATGCCTCCGCGGTGTGGTGGTCTGCATGCTGGGTGCGTATTCGAGAGATCCGCGATTCGATTCCTGCCGAAGGCGGTTGCTCATTTTTCATCCTTCCTGCTTCCAAAAAAAAAAAGTACCAAATGTCTCTACAAAATGACCTAGCCTAAAAAGACCAGTGTAATGTATAATGTTTTCAAGGAATTTGAACCAGTGCTCATGTGCCAGTACGAACAATTTGAACCAGTGTACGAGGTATGTCCAAAAGTGTTTTTTTTTAAACCGATTCATACAATTACTCAGTATTCTTCAAATATACGTCCCTCCTACTTTAACATATAATGTTTTCAACAC